GTTTGTGATGTTCTCAGGCAACTGAATGTGCTGCACCAGGCCGCCTCATGTTTCAGTCGCTATGGTATTCGAGATACCGCGATACATATATATTTGTAATGCTGAAAATTCGTCGAGAGCCCACGACCGGTTTCGCCCTACTTGGGGCTCATCAGGCGGGCCTGGTGAAGCACATTCTGTTGCCTGGAAACATCACAAACGAGAGATTCAACTGGGTTCCAGGTGAGTTTCTCGAAAAACCAAATGAGTGTATAATCACTCGGAATTTTCTTAATTCCTAGCTGAATTTTAGAGTGTCCCTTGGTCAGTTTTGGTTCAGATTATTTCGCTTAGTGGGCAGATTTATGTTCAGAAATAAGTAGTTGGCATGTAAAAACAAAATAGTTCTTCACTTAGTAAAGAGCATTCTAACATAGTGTTTTCCCTGTTATTTTGGGTAAATCTTAAAGGGAGGTGGAAAAATTTACAATAGTCAAGTACTTGTAGTCAAACTACTCACAGTTATTCCCAATGGATTGCAATTATATTTTTGTGCTCTAACAGTTAGTTTTTAGATGAGCTGAAACAATCCGTTCCAAATGATTTCACTATACTCTCAGCAACTATGATATGATCTTTTCTACATTGTTAAATAGCTTTTGTAACAAACACTGGAACAATGATCACAAAAACAATAGCGAAATTTGAAAACGTCGGAAGAATCTTGGGATGCATTAGAAATAACTCGAAAACCAATCAAGATACTCATTTCGGCTGAAAAAATCACCTCCACCCACTTGATACTTGTTGTAACAACCATCGACAGTCAACAGGTGCTTCACAGCGTTTCGAGTGAAATTCAACGTCAAGGCAACCCAAAAGCTTGATCCAAATTTATGTAAGAAGAGTTCTGTTGAAAAACTGTTAGTACGAACCTACCAGCCTCCGTGAAATAGTATTTCACTTTTCTCATCTAGCTCAATAGTCTGTTCCTAGAGATGGGATGACGTCAGACCCATAGCTAGATCTAATTAACTAATGGAAGGTGATAGCAAAACAGCCGACCAGTGCAATGGGAATGGACGGGCAAAATTACCAACAATGTTGCACACTCTGTTGTCTCGTTCTACTCCCTTACGCAATATACCGCTGTAACACCCTTTCATGCCTAACTGCCACGTCTCCCGAAAGAAGGACGAGGGCTGGGTTGCCCAAGCCTAGACAGGGGAAGTTGAGAGGCAGAGGTCGGGTTCGAACCACGAACCTTTCGGTCAGCAAATTCGTGTTCTAACCACTGGAGCATCTCACACCGGTATGCCGATAGGTTCATCTATGGTATACCTGAATACACATTTTGATAATTAGACTGGCAGTTGATGTTACTCCAAGGTTCTGCCTTTTTCCGGTATGCATGTGACAATCATCATTAGAATGATTTCGCAGTGGTTGGCTTGGCTTGGACTAGTTAATTATCTTATGACTTGGATCCAGAATTAGATTTAACGATATTCTCCAGGTATAGACACAATTTCATGTAAAGTGAGCACGGTCCTGGAGCTTCTTCATGGACAAAGGCACAAATCTAGTTGTTCTCGTTTCAGTTTTTCGCAATCCAGTTCTGTGGAGAAGCTTTTTGGCTGTCCACTTTGCCTTTCCCAAGCAACAACACATGTTTGACGTAACCTTGACCATTTCAAGGATTCATGGGATGAGTGGAATCAGCAGACTTTATATCTCAAACGTTCAGAATAGTTGCCAATGAATTGCCGGGTCTGTCTTTCGTTTGAATACATTAGAAATACCCGACATTCTATGAATTTGATATTCGTACCTCTACAACTGCAAACGTTATCCATCATGTAATACCATCGTACCCAAAGAAGAAACTGACGTTCCCGTTTTTGGACAACTGAGTTCCGTATTCCTGGCAGGTTTGACAGACTAAAGCCCGACAGTTGGCGTCCCTCAAGGTCACTGGATGACAATCGCTCGCTGAGCCTCATTTTCAACGAGTTATCGAATTCGAATGCCGATGTTTCTCCATTTTGACGGACTGAGAATCGACCTGAGGTCATTAAAGTTTGTGCTCCAAATTACTGGATCCCAACCTCGCCAACAACATGTACTACTGATGAGGCTTACGTGGAGCCAAATTACAGTGGACTGAGTCTGTCTGGTGTGGACGAATTAGAGTAATTTCACCGATACAGGATTAAAACTCACCAACCAGGGATATATGAATAAGCGTGTTACTGAATTTATCTAACTCCTGCTTACCGCAAACTTCCTTTGAGCTGAAAGCTGTCGGGTTGTCGGTACGCTTCATTGTTCGATGACCGGTTTACTTGCACCTAGTCAGGAAAAACCTTTGCGGTATACGGATGGCTATTCCGCGTAGGCCTGCAGACACTGTTTACTTACGGAAGACCTGGATCGAAGTCAAGAATTTAGTTTTATTTGTGTGGGCAGACAGAAAAGAAGCACAAGGAACCAATGCGTATGATAAATTGTATACTATTCTATTCAGTCTACTCGCCCGATTCATTTTTGGCACATGTATAATGAAAGTTTGGGTTTCCGGTATATCAGTGTCCCGACTACAAAGTTTAGTCTGGAATTCCTGTGGAATAGTTTATTTGATTTTGTGCCAGAAAATGGAATAGAGTCAGGTGATTCCGAACGATAAGGTCACTGAATAATTTTTATTGAAACGTTATTTTTTAATGTTCAGTAAAGAGTTGTTTTTTGTAGAATATCATAAACGAGAGATTCAGTTGAGTCTCTCGTGAAAAACCAAACTGATTTCGAAATGAGTATAGTCCTCGAAGATTTGTTCTACTTTAATCATTTCAAGGTCACAGCGAAAACTTAGAACAGGGATTGGCAGCTTCCCGCAGCCTTCTCAGTCGTGTTTTGTAAGTAGTAATCAACTGTCTGCCAAGATGTTCCAGTCCCAGTTGTGTAGTACCAATAATTTCATTGTCCGATTGCGTTTCCGGCCTCACGATCCAAACCCATCCAAATGAAATGTTTCTGAGAGAATACCTTGATTAGAAAGATTTTATTAGCTGGTGTGGAAATTTCAGTTAGGTCTCGCTGTGCGTTTCATATGAGCCACCACATAAATCACTTTTAGGCAAATGACGTCACTTTGCAGAGCACGCGACTAGGCACCAACTTTTACTACACCTTGAGATGTCACCATCTGTCGAGTTCCCGATGGGGAACTTCGAGTGACGCGTAGGTTCGCCAATTCCGAATATCAAAACGAATAATTGGGTACGTAATCCTACGGTACTATTGACGCAAGGGTAAGCAAAGGTGTACAACAAACCTCGTACGTAGCGTCAACAAGTGCACAGGTCTGTCACCGACCATCATGGTGCAGTTGCAACTCTGCACACCGGAAAACGGCGGGTGGAATGATGGCTCAGTAGTGTGGGTTGCGGTCGTCCCTTCCGACGACAGTCTCGTGATTCTCATTGGCCGTGCGATCACAAGGAACTCATGAGAAAACAGGTCAAGGCAGGCTCAGCAAACGGGACATGGACGCACATGGGTAAGTAGGTCAGCTGCGCACATTCACACACAGACGCACATGCCAATACCCAAGTGTCGGACGGTGCGGCCTCTGCGGCAAGGTGAGTGGCGGGTACAGATAAACAAAACACATGGAGATCAAAAGTACATAGACGGAGTAAGCTAATGAATGGGGGATTATCATAAAGTCAAGTTAGATTCAACACCATCAATAGGACATGGTCCCATCGAGCCTGAATAGCGTTGTTGCCTGAGGTCAAGAAAAGAATTCTGAATCCACAAGTTGCTTTAAGGAACAGTGCAACAGTGCAACTTACTATTCACCGGACCTGCTTTCTCTACCTGATACATCAAGTTTCAAATAGAAGGTTGCATGCAATTTTAGAGAGGTCTTCTAAAACTGTACAACAGACAGAATAACAGCCATTAGTTACTTAAAGGAAACTACTCACAAGGTCGCTGAAAACCCATCGGTAGCAACCTTGTGAGTAGTTTCCTCTAGGAAAATATACGGCGATATGTCAAATATCGTGCCAACTGAAAAATGAGGCGGCCTGTGCGCAGCACATTCATTGTAGAATATGATAAACGAGAGATTCAGGTGAGTCTCTCGTGAAAACCAAATTGATTTGCAAATGAGTGCATTTCCCGAAAACAGTCCATTTTGGGTTCAAGTAGGTCATAAGGTTGACAGAAACTCGGGGACTGTGCCTTCCTGATGAGCCCAAAGCAGAAGAGCGAAACCGGTCGTGGGGTGTCGAAGAGTTTTCAGCAACCTTGTGAGTAGTTTCCTTTATGAAAATATACTGCGATGTCTCGAATATCGTGCCAAGTGAATCATGAGGCAGCCAGTATGCAGAACATTCAGTTGTAGAATGTCACGAACGAGAGATTCATTTGAGCTTCTCGTGGAAACCAAATTGATTTGCAAAGGAGTGTATTTCTCGAAAACCATTGGTTACCTTTGGCTATAAAAGATTTTTTTCAAAATAGCACATGGAGTAGCAGCAAACAGTTGAAATCCACCTATATACTACCTTTAGAAGGGATTTGTTTAAAATGAAATCTTCAATTTAGACAACAGCAAAATCATTCTGGAAAAGATATCTTAGTTGGTTAATTTTCAGTCGACTGGCCATTCCATTTTGCACAGATATGAGAGGAGTTTTTATGTGACGACTTGAGAAATGACTCACTGCATTCAAGTTAAGAAAGCATCCCAATAAGCGAAATCGATGTGGATCACTGTCACCAAGTATGCCTAAAACGGCGAATGTTTCAGCCCTTGCTTTATTCTCGGCCTCAGTTGGGTTTGTTTTCTGCAATATATAGCTTTGAAAATAAATAGAATTTGAGGAGGCACCCGAGTACTGCTACAGGTCTTTTTGAATCGGCACGATATGTTGCGAAGCATTCAAGGAACCCATCCAAATAAGTTGTTCTATTTCGCCTTGCTTTAGACTCATCAACTAGCATTTTTACCAACTCTATGTCTTATTTGCAACGCCAGTGGGCAAGTGCCCCTATTTGAAGCTCAAAGAGAGGAAACATTCATCCGAACAAAATAGTTGGCAATAAATCTAACAATAAAATATCAATACTAATAGCTTATCTGTGGCACTGTTTCGGTGCACGGCTGCCGTGACACTCATAGGAAGTATGAGGGCTCAGATACTACCAGGATTTTCAGGCCTGGATTAGTGCTAGAGCCAGGGATGGGTCCAAGTCGCTGAACTTTCTGTTAGTAGTTTCACGCCTCAACCTTCCGAAGGGTGCCCAGTTTAGTAGGTTTTGTGAAACCATCGCAACAAGCACGCAAACCACAACGCAACAAAGATCACACACGGATCACACAGGCAAAAAGCTATAACCCAACTAGCCAATCAGGTTAGGAGAAAACAGATAGCCTTCTAATACTATATAAACACACACAGGCAAACAGGAAGTGCCCACCCAACTGCGCACTGATGATGTCTCCTCGAATGGTGACGAAACGTTTGCAAATCAGTTGCCAAGCTCGGTGAACAGATCAACAACCACCTGATCAGGAACCAATATACTTGCCCGAGCTACCACTATCTCGACACATTACCAAATTGCATGTCCAAAATTACCCACATTGTATTTCACCGGCTATCTTGCAGTCCATTCGCATCTGAGAGGATTGATATTTCAGAAATAATATCACAACAAGAGGGGATAAGAAAGAAGTGTGTGAATAACTCCTTTCGATAGCCACTTCTTCCTATTTGTTTCATCCTTTCACCAAACAGGTCTCCTCAGTCAATTGGAAAATGTTTGGGACCGATTGAGAAGTCCTCGTTTCAGTGGTTTGGTAAACAATCGGTGGATTTATTGCTGGGCAACGTTTCGCTTTTGACACAAAAGCTTCGTCAGGCCAAGTAAGTAAGTAAGTAAGTAAGTAAGTAAGTAAGTAAGTAAGTAAGTAAGTAAGTAAGTAAGTAAGTAAGTAAGTAAGTAAGTAAGTAAGTAAGTAAGTAAGTAAGTAAGTAAGTAAGTAAGTAAGTAAGTAAGTAAGTAAGTAAGTAAGTAAGTAAGTAAGTAAGTAAGTAAGTAAGTAAGTAAGTAAGTAAGTAAGTAAGTAAGTAAGTAAGTAAGTAAGTAAGTAAGTAAGTAAGTAAGTAAGTAAGTAAGTAAGTAAGTAAGTAAGTAAGTAAGTAAGTAAGTAAGTAAGTAAGTAAGTAAGTAAGTCCACCGATTGTTTACCAAACCCCTCTGAAACGAGGTCTACTCAGTCTTTGAAATCGATGTGATTTAGCTACATAAACTATCGGGATGCGTCTTTTACGTATTATACAGCAGATCAATACACTGGATTATTAAGTTGTAAGCAGATTAAACTACACCCACATGAGCGAAGTGGACGAATATTTCTTGGCTCCAAACCGAAGACCAGTATACTTGATATTAATCCATGTTGTTTTCTTCTAAACCTACCTTCAAAGTTCATAAAATTTAGATTCGTTGACAGGACGCGGTTCGTGTGATAAGCTTTTCAATCTTTTGTCTGATTTCAGGACCCTACCATAATTACAAACGGGTCTGTCAAACACAATCTTAGAATGTCTAACCAAAAGTTGACCGGGCGTCGTGCGATGTACGCTAGTAGTGTGCAGCAAACCAATTGCCGTTACATTTTGCGTTCAAAAGACTTACAGCCGGCAACTGCGACGAATGCTTCCGGAAAAGAGCTTGCAAATCCGATCGACTCACGAGGTTTGGGAAAGCTCATTCCTGGCGTCAAGCCTCGGTGCAGTAATCCAGTCAGGTAAGTGTACTGTTCACCCTCGTATGAATAGTCTATTTGCATGAGCACAAAGTTTTGCGATTGTAGTGGTTAAAAATCACTTCTCCACAAACTTAAGATTTTGTGTACTATCCTGAAACAAGGACACGGATGCCTTGTGTTTAGCTAATCTAACATTCATGTCCTGTTTCTTCTATTATCGCTGGGTAGTTTTATGGCAGTAGGAACTTCTGTTCGGATAAAATTTCTCCATATTTGCTGCCAATCCTAAATTTAATCACGAGTGACGCCGTTTTTCGAAAAACGCACCTTTGCATAAGATTCACGTTTATTCAGAAAACGATTATAAAACGTTCATAGTCACATCACTCTCGTTTGAATGGTCATCCTCCTGTTCTCGCCTAATTATTCGGGTGAGTCCACACCAGAGGGAAACAGTGGACTCGAGTTTCGCTCTTATTAGAGCTCACCAGCAGTGCATATCCAATGGCCGTGCCGAGATTTGAACCCCGGACATCCGGCATACGAGGCGAGCGTGTAACCACTAATACAACAACGCACTTTGGACGCATCTGAATTATCACGTCTGAACAGGCGAACGTGTTCACACTTGAGCGATGTGATTGGTGTGCCCGACTACAGAACGATTATCACTCATGTCATTTCGATCAGTTTATTACTTGGTTAGGATTGTGATTTTTCCAGAGATGTCACAGTGAGCTTATCCAATAGTCTAAGAGCTGATTATGCAATTTCAATCATTTTGCTCTTCAACTATTGCGCAAATCCTCGTTTGAACTTCCAAGCCTTGGAAATATCCGTTTCCGACGAATCTGAACCTTTGTCCATTTGAATAATGATAGTTTTTAGGGTTCTTTGTGAGTGACATTCACGATACGATACCGAATAAATGTTCTCGGTCGAGTAAATTGCGGTGTTTGGGAAACACGTATTGTCTTCACACTTTCGGAGTGAAAGGCTATGTCAAGAAGGACAAGTAGATAAATGGGTTTGATGTGTGAAGCGAAGTGATGCCACAGTTTCTTCAAAAGGATACCACCTCGAGTTTGTCTACCCCTCCGCAGTGTCCCGTATTTGGGCGGATTACTGAATACTTTGTCGCGCTTTTAAATTTGGATTTACAAAGCGTGAAACTGCAAGGATTTGGACAGATCGAAACACTAACCGGACGAACTATTTTGGTAGACAACCAAATGTTTAGAAGGATTAACGTTACGTTACTATTTATCCTGTCTTGGGAGATTTTGAGAAAGAGCGGTTTCGAACCCTGTTTTTTTAAAACCCCTAGGGTTTCTCNATGTGCGCATCGCTTAGTAAGATATAGATAGAAAGCAGTATCATATATTTTAGCTTTGTAAATTTGAAAACGTTAGTGTGATACTCAACTTGTAAAGCGCGCCACTAAAAGGTTGGTAGTCTGATTTATACATTTTTCTTGATTTGGACTACTGCTCTCCAAATTGCACCCTAACTTGACAACTTGAACGTTGTAAAACCGTTGGTTAATACCAGCAAAACAAAACAAAACTCAAAGCGTGTAACAGAGATTTTTGCGATTACTACTCAAACAATTCAAGATATGTCGATTCTTCTTGTATAGTATGTGCAACAAATTGGGTCGAAGCACATGATTTACACACCATGCTTGCGTGACTGCGACCGCAAGTAAATAAGTTTCTGGG